GAAACCATGGTCCATGATGTTTGTCAGATTCAGTAACAAGGGAACCCATGATGTTTGTCAGATTCAGTAACAAGGGAAACCATGGTCCATGTTTGTCAGATTCAGTAACAAGGGAACCCATGGTCCATGATGTTTGTCAGATTCAGTAACAAGGGAAACCATGGTCCATGATGTTTGTCAGATTCAGTAACAAGGGAAACCATGGTCCATGTTTGTCAGATTCAGTAACAAGGGAAACCATGGTCCATGATGTTTGTCAGATTCAGTAACAAGGGAAACCATGGTCCATGTTTGTCAGATTCAGTAACAAGGGAACCCATGGTCCATGTTTGTCAGATTCAGTAACAAAGGAAACCATGGTCCATGATGTTTGTCAGATTCAGTAACAAGGGAACCCATGGTCCATGATGTTTGTCAGATTCAGTAACAAGGGAACCCATGGTCCATGATGTTTGTCAGATTCAGTAACAAGGGAACCCATGTTCCATGATGTTTGTCAGATTCAGTAACAAGGGAAACCATAAGTAATATTCCCTTCTTTACAGCATTAAGGATACATGACACAGAATTTATGTAGTTATCTTAGTCATTATGACCTGTATCTTTGCATCACTCAGGATATAGATCAACTGGTAGTCTGGTAGATCCCTGGTCATTACCACCAGTATGCTCGGATTTCCTCTATGGGTGTGCTCCAGACAGTGTTTACCCCCTTCAAATTAATATTGATTACTGTATATAATATTATAATGAATATGACCTTGACTTACCAGTGACAGTTACCTTGACCTCGAAAGGTTTCAAATCTTACAAAATATCCCACAATGTGTGTGGTAGTGTATAAGGAGATAGGTATGAATTAGCAAGCCATATCCAAACAAACATGTGTTAGAGAGTGATCAGGGCACAAGTGCTAATAAATCAAATCAGTTCTCCAATTACCAGGCCCTTCCAAACGTGTTATGGACACTGATGAGAAATTAGGAAATATTCCAAGCTTGGTTGGCCAATTGCATGAATATATATCAGGTTATAAATAAATAGGAAAGGGGCATGATACATGCCTAGGTTGGAAGAATGCAGCAATCACATCAAGTTATCTTCATCTATTTTAGAGGAGAGGAGATTTATAAATCCTGTCAGTGTTGTGTTGTTGTTGAGATTTACAGCTGCTACCACCTGAGTCTTGTTGGTACTGAGTAAATGGATACCAAATAAAAGCCAAGAGAATATTTATCTATATTTATCACATTAGTACAAAGATCTATTGTTTTAAAATCACAGGGCTCCTTTTCATTGGTTTGAGACAGGAAATGTTTGTCTAATTTTTGAGAGACAATAATTGGTATATTAGGAAGGAAGTTTTTATGAGTAAACTGAAATTTCAAATTTTTTTATTAAATATCAAATACTTTAAACAGGAAGTGAGTCCCATTATTAGCCCCCACTATCTTGGTTGGTACAATTTAAACAGAATTTCAAAAACGCATTTTATTATTATCTAATATAAAAACAAACTGGGAAGGATGTACAGAAAGTGTTCATGGTGATCCAATACAACATAAACATCAGAAGAAGAGGTCAATAAGATATGGAAGGCTACCTACCAAACTGTGTACAATAGGGAGGTACAATATATAATAAGTATGCCTAGATGGGAGGGAAGGCCACAGGAATTGTCAGACCAATTTATACTTGGCACATCCAACATGTAGCTAGACACAGCAATTTATTCCAACTTGTCTGAAGTCAACTACAGTTGCAGTTTACAATGTGTATACAAAATATCTTCATGTTAACTGTCGACACTACCCATTATACTATAAACTGTATCACTTTGAACTCCTCTTCTAAAGTCAAGGTATTTTCTGTATATTTACAGTAAGGTCACGGCCATACCGGGTATTTAGCTATCACTATTGGTCAGAAATATTGGATCTGAAGTAAAAATTCCATCAATGTCTGCAAGGAATCAAACCTGGGACCTCTGGCTTAAAAGTCTTACCCTCTAAAAATACCTAGTAGTTCAGCAGCAAAGTTCCTTAGAGGTCAAAAGATATGCTGACATAATTACTTAAACCAAAAATATCTGTTGGGGGTAATTTTTTCCAATATCTGGATTTAGACTTCAGAAAACTGGTGAAACTTCCTTTAAATATATGTGTGTGTATTTAATTAAACACGGCCATGTACTCGTAAAATGCAATACACTGATAAAGCAATTGGGAATCAAATTTACATGAATCTTCAGACTATTTTAACCTAGTCGCAGCGCGCAGTTTTTCATGAATAATTCTTACTGTAGCCCAGTTCTTTGATGGAACACTAGAAATGCTCTCTTAGACAGACAACTTTTCTTGGTGCAAGCACATGTACTATTGCAGATTTTTGTAATTACTACAAAGAACTCATAAATTACTTATACAGGGAAAGATGTCAACAGTTCTGTCTTTGTAGGAAGATGATGTAGGAAATTCAAACCAACTCAAGACTTGGTTTATCTGCTTTTGAGAAAACAAAAAATAAACCAAATTAGGTATTTATAAAAAGTATAGCTGTAGAGTTTTTTGGTTACATTACTATCCTTTGTTTTTACATCTTTTATATCATTGCAATTTTCAAGGAAACACTCATAAATACAAACTTGTGTTCACCCTTCCACAAAAATATATCATATTGAAGCCTTTTGAAAACTATGTTCAAAAATACATCATTTCTTTATGAACTTTATAAACGGTTACGTGGAAACAAATGTACCAGTACGTTTTTTGTTTTGCATCATCATAAGAACTTAGGAAGAATACAGGATTAGTCTATTTCATTTCATTTGTCACACAGACTGAATATATCACGCAGCCATATTATAGATAATAGATTCAATGAAACAAATCCGACCTGATCCACCCCTTCATTCAATGAAAATAGTTCATGTTAGAAAACACTTTTATAGCAATGTGTCCATTTTGTTTTACAGTGAAAATTTTCATGTAAAATGTATGGAGGAATTAGTCTTTGGTATCGATGGAAACGCATTTGAATTTGTCAGTTTTTGTTCCAAATGCGTGCAAGTAGAAAACTGCTTAAACAAACTCTGCTTTAACAAATCCCAGTTGACTACAATTTCAGGATTTGTCAAACATCATTAGTGTCATCACTGCAGGTTCAACTATTAAGATTTGGAGTGATTACACACCAATAGGCTCCAAGACAAATGCTGGGGAGACCTTTTGGTATTTGCAGTAATTTCATTAAGTATCAATATGACCATCCTTAGATAACCATTCTAAGCATAAACACATTTAACAACCACACCAACAATTCCCACTATCATTGGACACATCCTTCTCTTCCCAAAACAAAACCACCTCCTGCCTTCCTCTATCACCACATTTCAGCCAAGCCCATTCACATTTCACCTAATCCTTCATTATACAACCAACATGACTTGACTTCCTCTCATTATCTCCCTGGTCATCTGATTCTTCAACCCCCTCTGTTCTACCAAACAATCAAAATCACTTGATTCACCTCCCCCCACCCCCTACCCCTATCTCCCTGTCACCAGACTCTTCAAACCAAAACCCTCTCCTTCCTTAAACAAACAAACCATCCTCCCTGTATATCTGATCACATGACCCTGCAACCCCTTCTTTCCCATAAAACAACCAATATCACCTTGATTCTCTTCCCTACCTTAAATCTGATTTGATTATCCAGCCCCTCCCCGAGAATTATGACCCCCACCTCCCTCATGAATCCAGCATTAACCCTACCATACTTTTGTTCTAAGACTGTGACATACATGATCTGTACAGACTAATTCTTAATAACACTGATTAATTACACAAACAGCTTCTGCAAGATGTTGCTTTAAAACTTGCTGACAGATATCATATATATAACTATCTGTCTACTCATAAACATAATGTTTTTCGAGAAGCACACCAATGTCAGTTCAGAGACAAATCATTTATCATCAGCCCTTTTGTTATTTAATATGTAATGTATCTATGTATATGTGTAAAATATCTGTCGAAATGTAATTTCTCTAACAATTCAAAACTAATTCATATCAGTGTAATACTAAATTGATTATCTAGTTCACATTTATGAAAATAAAATGCCAAATATCCATGCTTTATCATTGTTCAACATAAACTCAAAGTTATGATAATTATAAATTACCAATATCAATAACTTCTCAAAGACATGGATCAATATATATTAGAATATTGCTGAACTATCTTAGAAATATCAGTGTTTTAATTATCAGATTCACCCCAGTAGAGAACTTGGAGGCAGGCTTCATTGATCTTGGTACATTGGTAGATAATTGACCATATCTCTGATGCAATCTGAGAGAGTCAGTGCGAGATCCCGTGGTGAGCAGCTCGTCTGACCTGCCTGGAAGTGCATCACTAGGATCCCTCGGGCCCACTTAATTAATTACCCCTCCCTAATTACCTCCACTGCCGAGGACACGGGCGTCACATTATCGAACCCCTCTATACTCAAAGTTCTTCAAAAGATAGACGGTCATGCTTCGGTTACTTGCCCAAATACACAACCCATCAAATAGTTAAAATTCCATCTACACGTAATCTTATCTTACAAAAGTAAACAAAGCGTAAAAAGACGATAGCATTGACATGGTTTCTACCAACACACACGTTGTTGTCTGTGAGTGAATGCCAGATTACTTGTACATGTATGAATCAGAGGATGAAATGTCAAACTCGCTTGTCACATGGGAATAAGGATGTCGATTAAAATCATCTATATTCTCGCAATTCTGTGGCTACTGTGGCCAAATTCGGTCAGTTAAACGGTTAACCATTCAAAAATAAAAATATATTGAATGAAACGGAAGCACACAACCCTAAAACGAAAGTGGCAGATGGAGAGTAGGGATGAAAGCGACCGTTAGTACAATTAACATATTTGGACTCAAATGAATCATAATATATGCAGCGAATCACCACAAATTATCGGGTACTTACTTGAAACGAAGAGAAGTAAAAATCCCTGTATTAAGAAAATGCAGGTAAAATTGTCCATTTTGATCGACCGCTGGTTTAGTTCCAGTGACTCTGTCGCTAAACGAACGCTTCTCCTTTCTCACTGTCCGATACAAGCTTTCTACGAGTCCGTGGGAATATTGAGCCTATTTACCACTTGCAAGTGCCCGATCCTTCCGCGCGCAGAAAGAGACCGCACTGCAGCGTTGTATTTAGATGCTCGATTCCCGGGCTGTGCGCCAAATGATCGATTTCCTCGAAAGAACCAGTATGTGTCGAATGGAGCAGTAGTGGAAATTACAGCAACCACTCGGCATCACAATGGCATCGGTCCGACGCCCCAGTTGACTCAATGAGCCAAAACCGTGTTGTTTACAATTTTCAGAGAAAAAAAAAATTGGGACATACTAATTTGACGATTCGGAATACGTGTAATTTTTGGAAATTTATTTTCCGGATTATATTTTTTTCTCTTTGGACCATTATTGGATATTTGAAGATCAGCGAAAACAGTGTTCGTCAATAAATTATTCAAAAGACTGCTTATGTAGTCTATAAGCTTTACGGCGAATAGATAAATAGTCTATGTCTTAACTGGATTTCGAATATGTGGGTGTAGGGTATTATTTAAATAAATTTTCTCGTTTAGTAGATTTCTGCCGTTCATTTAAATCGATGCTATTGTGTATCTTGGACAATAAATACTAGGATATTGACCTTATATATATATTTATTTTATTTTAGAGTGGTAGTGTACAAAGTATCGGTAGGATGTGGAGGAGAAACGATTTTTAGAAGAGCCGTATAAGAAGGCTTGGTTTGTTCTTTTCTAGAATTTTTTGTTGATTTACAAATGAAAATAATATCTTTCCTTTCTTTCTTTCTTTCTTTCTTTCTTTCTTTCTTTCTTTCTTTCTTTCTTTCTCGGGACAATTGTTCTATTGTCGGATGTTGATATTGCAGTATTTTGGATTAAATGTAGTAGACTATGAACTTCCGACAGTTCGACAGATAATACTCGATTTTATGAAGAATTATTTCTAAAGGTAGGGTTTTTACCATTATCATTATTTTCATTTTTCTAAAATTATAAAAAATGTGATGTTTAAAAACACATTTATCCCTTCAACTATACACCATATCTTTTATTATATCTTATAATTAGTATAATTATTTATCAAATCTCTTGATTTCCAATATGTCCGCAAGGAAAGTCGGAAAATGTTCCATACGACTGGTTCGATCCAGGGGGGTCACGTCATGGCTCGTGCAAATCTTTTCTATCACACTTACAGTGAGTCATTGCGATCAATTATATCCCTGGTGCTTTATTCAGAGGGGAAAACGTATTTACATATCGACGACATGAAGCAAATACCATGAAACCTAAAAAAAATACATTAGATCAATCTTATTTAAATAAAAACTAAAAAAATTGGAAGGATATAGATAACTCATAATTTGTGAAGTTCAGCTGAACCGATTTAAAACAACATGGCTTCCAAGTGGAAATACGAAACTTAATAAACACCAAGGAGAAATTTAGCAATGCATTACAGAAAAGAAAATCGATAAAAAAAAATCATGTTAGATAATTTTGTCTGAGGTCCCGTTTCTTTCTCCCATGGTAAGATGTACATATTTACACGATAGAACTGTGAATTTGTTATTCAGGTATCTCCTGGAGAGATTTGGTGACAAAGTCGTCCCCCATCATTACAAGGAAACTGATGGTAATGCACCAGATCGCCTGGTAAATTACCTCTATATCCGAATGCTTAGACAAAATGACTCGTCACCTTAATCAATAAATAAATATTAAATTGTGTATGTATATTTTCAGAATATTGATGATTTAGTACGTACATGGTAAGTGCAACCATTAAATCGACAATATCTCAGACGGTTGAGCACCAGCCGTTGGAAACATTTGTGGATTTCCGATTTGTGTATGGTCCAATCCATAGGCGGTTTAGGTTTCAAGAAAACCAATATACCATATCGTCCTTTGCTATTTTGGTTGTGTCTTATAGGACAAGACAATTAACTCCAACTGCTCAGGAGGCAATGGTCTTCCCGCATGTTGTTCACCGAGGACGCCACCATCTACATCATGGATACCCAGCTTTACGATTACTAAGTCTTGGCTATTCCAGGAAATATAAAACGACCAAACAAACCAGTACATGTTATATTTAACCAAGTTGTAATGGGACATGTGAATGCACTCTTGAGAATTCGCTGACCTGATTTATAGAATTAAAGTTACCTCAAATCTCTATATTGATGGAAATTCTCGGACAAAAATTCAAGAAAAACCTAAACGACAAACTATGAAAGTTGTATTTATCCGTTATTGACATCTTACACCCAGACAGGCCTCAAATACGACTGCACGAGAACACAAAATTAATATTGATGACTATTTTTCTTTCTTTTTTTTTTTTCGAAAACAGTAGAAATCGATGTTTGCCTTGCGGCATTAGTGTGACAACATTGATCGGTCACTCACTGGGTACCTGTTGTTAGATTTTTATAAGGTGTTGATTGAAAAAGTAAAATTTCGTGAAACAGAATGCACGGACGTTCAAAAAATGAGTAGCCAGCCATACTATACACATGCAATCCATTTGATCACCACCGCTGGCTATAAACCTTATCAGACTGTTACAGTCTATGCCCCGTCAACTTACAACAACACAAACTGAACAACAAGAACATCCAACCACGATATTAAAAAAAATGGCTTCAGTGCTAGTTATATAAGAAACAAGTCTCGAACATAAACATAGCAATTTGAATATATTTTTCTGGTTTATTTAAAAAAAAAAAGCTATTTGCTTTGATGCTTACCTGACGTTGAAAAGATATCTATTTGAGATATACATCAAGTACACAAGAGAGAGATTAGTGGAAGTTCACCAGCCTGTCTACCTTGCCACGTAAAATAAATATTTCATACCAAACTAATTATCCCGTGCTCTGATAAGGTGGGTCCATCCTTCTGCAACAATTTCAGAGTCTAGTTTGTATCATTGCTGGAAGAGATTACCCTTTGTGCACGAAAAGCAATTGTATATTCGCTTGCCGTATATCACAGTACGTTTAGCATTATTCTGCCTAAAATTATATGTAATTGGCTATATGTGATGATAGACATACATCCTTCAAGTAGGCGACCTTGAAAACTGTTAAAGCTGTCCGGGTAATGAACTCGTTGTCCCAGGCACTAGTCGAAAACAACCAGCCATTATTTTCTGTTACCATGGATAAACGCCTTTATATTCTTGACATGACCGCGATCACTCAGTGTTCTCTCCAAACCAAATCAAATTGGTTATCCTTTTGACCTTTCGACCAATCAGTTTTACATACAACATAGACTATATCCATCTATGATACAATATGATTTCAAAATAGCCGGATACTTGCAAAATATAACCGGATACAGACATGCTGTACTTTAATTGTCTTTATCGTTTTTTGTTGCGGTTGTTTTCTACGCGTTTAAGCTATTAGCATATGAAAGGAATGGCTAGTTTTTGTTTACAATTCTGTATTGATTGATTTCTATGACCAATAACTGACTTTGTAATTCACTCAAGCGGGCTTGCTACCCGAAACTGACCGTTTCATTGTGATAATGTGATATTCTATAAATGTAGGGTTTTGTTTTAGCATGGAATGTTTCTCTGTCGAGGTAAGTGGTGATATGAATCTATCGACAACATTGTATACATGATTGGCTACGAAAGAGCAGATATGACGTATTAAGACACGATGTTTTTGTTTTTTTTTAAGTACATCTTATCTTCTAAAAAGATGATAGAAATCAGACACAAGTTAAATTACGTTGTGCATTAAATACGATATGTAAACACATAAAAAAATAGGAAGGAAAACAAAGCATCACGTGCTCTGGACCTCGGACTCGGGATTGTCGTTGGCAATGCTGCATCCGGGCCTCGAACTCGGGATTGTCCTTGACAATGCCATACTCGGACCTCGGACTCGGGATTTACATAGGCGATGCTGTGGCTGAGCTTCCAGCTTAGATTTTTAACGTGGCAAAGTTGTGTCCAGACCTCGCACTCAAAGGACCAACATTAGCAGCATGCCCGGTCCTCGGACTCAGGAATTTTATCGACAATGTGTCCGGACCTCGGACTCAGGATTTACATTATCAATTATGTGTCCAAGTCTCGACGTAAAACGATAAAGCTGTGCTAATGTGACCCTTGGGTAAGCGTCGTTCGTGTATCTAGGATCTACAATAGCAGGAATGTAAATGCGCGTTTCCTATAGACATTTCGTTACCGAAATTCGATATAACACTAGTTTCGAATCCAGATGTGATAGAAATATCTCAAGCATTACATTTTCTGTACTTCATGTGACCAGATCAGCATTTTGAATTGTTACCCACAATGCTTCATTGATGAATTTCACGATTTTAAAACACAAACCATCTCGAAAGCATGCATACATCCATTAAATCTAGACCAGACACACCTGAAAACTGGCAGTCAAGTATAGATAGCTTTAAGTAGATCCTCTTATTGAGGGAAAAGTCGAGGGGTGTCTTACATTGTATTAAAAAATCGAAAACAACACATCAGAAATGAAAATTGGAAACTTATTAGATACAGAAATGGATAAGACCTTGTAAGAAAATAAAAATATACACGTGTTTTGACATTTTGCAGACTGTTTTTGAAAGCCGCGTCGGTATTGTATGACAAACCAGGGCAAACTGTATAATGAGTAGAGTTTTCCGTCGTTATTCTTGAAATATTGTGAATCGACGTAGAAAGGAAACAGATGTTACTCGTCTGCTAGAGAATGAAATATTCAATATTGCATCGTTAGGGTTTGACTTTCGCCCTCACGTGCGCACGAGTTATAATGGGAGTGTAATCCCGTAGAGAATAAGACCTTGCTATGTAACATAGTGTACAGGGAGTATAGCGATTGCGCTTTTGAAGTCGCATTATTATTTTCCAGCCCTGTTTGCTAATTGATTAATAGTACCTCTATATAAATAAACCACACATGCAGAAA